GGTGGTCGGGGGGGGGGGGGAGGAGGGGGCATGTCTTCTGAAATATGGACTTACTTCTGTCGTCAGTTTTTAGGTAAAGATTGCACGGACTAACCACCTTTTTGATTGCTTTTTGAAAGATTAGCCGGTGTTTAGCCACTTTCAATGCGAAAATATCAAATGATAATGTCATCGATTTCGAACTTAAACAAGTAAAATATTTAGAATATTTCCATGTTTTAAAATCCATGACAGTGTCATGGATTTCAATTGGCTATTATTGCGGTCAAACGCACACGCAAGTATACGCGGTCGTCAAGTAAAAAAGTGATTAAAAGTCGGATGTCGATCCCACGAGGACTTGTGATTAACTATTAACTAAATTAGACTATCCTAATTATCTAAACAAGAATTAAACCTAGAAGTATTTGATTCTAAACTAATTAAAATAAATAAAAACAAATAATGAACTTTGGACAGAGAAAAAGAGCAGATTTTTATGATATCAATGTAATGAAAACGATCTAGGGTTATGGGCTATCTAACATTCCTATTGTATTCTTCAATTGAATTAACTAACTAATTTATCTAGTTTATTGGTTGACAGGGTTAATATTGCTCATAAGAATCTGTCGAGTTCTTACTCGCCTATTCAAGCTAACCTAACTCCTATATGTCTACGGAATTAGAATCAACAAGAACGCATTTATAATTCATGTAAATCAACCAAGCAAGGTAATTAGGTATATGTCTATCCTAACCGCGAATCCGTTCCCCGAGGCCCAAGTTCAAGAACTTGCTCTACTCAATCCTATATGCAATCTAGAATTCCCACTTTCGAGTTCAACTCTAGATTCGTAGATAGTATTCAATTGGTGATCAAGCAATCAAATAATTAAGTGCAGGATTGAATAAATAAACCAATATGATAAACTAAGAAATCAAAATCAATATTTGAATAACAATAGTCATGAAAGAACCACAACCCTAGAACGTGAAGTTTAACTCCACATAGACATGGTAGCAAAACAACAAATCATACAAAGAAACATAAAAATTACTAAGTTGGTGGAAGAAAAGATGAAACCCGGCCTCCACGGCGGCTCTGTGCTCTTCCTTCGTCAAAAATTGCTCTCAAAAACGTTCTCCTATGTATATATACCAAGTAGGGTTGGGCCCAAACAATTATACCTTCTCCAATGTGAAAAAGGACACTTTTCCCGGGCTTAACTAGCGCGGCTAGTTGGCTGACTTTCTGTTTTTGGGCGCGCTAAAATTAGCTCGGGCGCGCATCTGGGCGCGCACTTTTCACCCTGTTCCGTTCCGAATTTGGAAAAACGTAAAACATGAAAGTTGTAGCTCTTTGAGTTAGCTTTCCAACCATATATTGTGGAGCCAAAATGGAGTTCTGAGCAAAAAGTTATGTCTATTTTACTAGACAGTGCGCAATCTGCCTACTGGAGTCTTCGTTCGCTCTAACTATCATCCGTTGACCCCCAAACACGATCCCGGCTTAATTACTTGAACTTTTACACAAACTTTAAAGCTCCAAATCACTTGAATTCATTCCATAACATCTATATAGCTCGAAATCACTCCTACAAGGCATAAAACATACAATTAGTGCAAAACACTAGCCATTAAAGCTCAAACTCAATTAAAGTGCAGTAAATTAGAGTGCAATAATCGACTAAAATACGTAATTATAGCCTATCATCAGCTATTTTTCAATAACTTCTGAATTTGTGGCTTTTTTCAATTACAAGCCCGTATAATGACAACTTTTGAAATTTATCCGAGTTTTAGTCCAAAAATCAAAGAGCAAATTTCCTCTGTAGCCGGCCGATGAAAACTATTATCATTCGCTAGCCATGGATTAATCCATACAATTAATAGCCCCAAACAAGTTATAGCTAGCCTAAATTTGATCAAATGCGGTAGATTTTGTTGCCATCGAGCCGTTTCAATCATCCACCAATGATATGCAAAATCAATTTTCTTATTGTCAAAATACCGCTTATGGTATTTAATCTTTGAAAATAATAAATTTTCATGTCATTTTAGGTACCTAACTTCTTCTGACTATCAAAAGATTATGTAAATTATTTTTAATTTTTGTTGTTGTTGGCTCTTAATTGGCTAAATGAAAGCAGGCGGTCATCTTCAAAGTAATATATCCTTATTGTTATGGTTTTTGTTTCATGGGTTTATTTATTTATTTAATACACAATAATACGTTCTTCACTCTTTAAATCAAACACCCCTTTACGTCCAAAGAATGTAAATGTAAATTCAAATAAATACTATATAATAGATATAAGTTGTTAATAACTATCATCATTGTAATTTTTAACACAATAATAAATTCAAGAGAATCTTTCGTATATATATGTATACACACACATCACTACGTAGTAAATGCACGATACACTTTATATATACAAAATTTATACATCGTAGAACAGTCTATACACTTTGGATACACAAAAGTGCTCGGGATACATTAATGATATATTATGGATACATTGCAAGATGCATGATAGACTCTATATACATATTTTATGTAATGTATATACTAAATAGACTGTCACTATACAAAAAATATACTAAAATAGACTGTCACTATACAATTTATATACAATAGACTGTCACTATACAAAATAGACTGTCACTATACATAAATATACTAAATAGTCTGCCACTATACAATTTATGTACAATAGACTGTCACTATACAAAATATACTTTCACTATACAAAATATATACTAAATAGGTTGTCACTATACAAAATATATACAAAATAGACTGTCACCATACAAAATATGTACTACATAGACTGTCACTATACAAAAGATATACAAAAAAATATATAAAAATAGAACGTCACTATACAATAAATATACAAAATAGACTTTCACTATACAAAAAATATACAAAATAGATATTTCGGGCTATTAGATATAATATGTTTAGGCCGAAGGGCCATTTCGTCTCAGTGGGAAAAAATATGATTAAAAATTTGAGGGGGGATTTGCATCTATACCCAGTTTTTGGGTCACAATTTAACTTATACCCGCTTTGCAAAAGAAATTGCAAGCGTACCAACTTTTCGGGTAACTTCAGACATACGGGGCCTGAAGTAGCAAGAATTTATGTCTGAAGTTTGAACTTCAGAATTTTTTGCCTGAAGTGTGACCTTATCAAAGCAAAACTTCAGATATTTTCGTTTGAAGTATGGCCTGACTTGCAAAAGCAATCAAAAACTTCAGTTCGTAGTGCAAACTTCAGACAAACTAGTCTGAAGTTCTTCAGTTTGTAATACAAACTTCAGACAAATTAGTCTGAAGTTCTTTAGTTTGTAGTGCAAACTTCAGACAAAATCAGCTTGTTATATTTGAACTTCAGATAATTTTTCCTGGCATGATAGTTGCAAAGTTCAGACAAAATTTAACCTCGTAATGTGTGAAGTTTGGCCCTGCAGTCCCAAACTTCAGTTGATGCTTCTTCGAGTTCTGACAATAAACTCTTCTTTTATTATTTACGTACTTTGTGTTGGGATGTATTAATGTTTGAGAGGCAGCGGTGAGTCTTTCTTTCTTCTTGATTTGTCGCTTTGTCCAATTTTCAGAAACGATAACATGTGTAACTTACAGAATAACATGTTTGAGAAAGAAAAGAAGAAGAAGAGGAGGAAGAAAGGAGCGCATAGGTCGCAGGATCTGAAGTTGTCAAAATTAGGGTATAGGTTAAATAATTTTAAAAATATAGGTATAGGTTAAATGGGGGCAACCAAATAGGACGGCCCATGCAATTTTTACACTTTTGAGGGGCTATAGAGAGTAGTTTTCTCAAAACCAAACAGCTAGAGGCCCATGAAAAAACTCTGGGCCGGCCCATTAAATGTTCTTTAGATCCGATGAAAGCCCCATTTGGGAAACTGACACATCACTTTTCTTCTTCTTCCTCTTCGCCAAGTCAAGTCACTTCCTATCTCTACATTTTCTCTTTCCACCTGAAACAGCAAGGTCAGCTTTTATATGCTGTTGAATTATTAGGGCTTTATTTTTAGGTTTTTATTTCAACAATTCTTTATCCTACTTCGATTGCTTAATGCGTGGCTTTATGCAGTGAGAATTAGTTTTTCTGCATTTATTAAGCTGCTTCTGTTTCGTAGGCAGATGTTTCATTGTTGAAATTTTTCTTTAACTGTTTTGATTTTACGATTTTTTTCTCATTTGATTTGTAGATCTTTCTAGTTTCATGCGTTTATATGTGCATATATGGTCGTTTCATTTCCAGATAGTTGTCATGTGTGTGTGTGTGTGTGTGTATACAGTATGTATCTACATAACAGGATTTTCACTAACGGGTTCGAAATGTAAAAGAAGTAAATACACGAAGAAGTGAAGGGGATTTGACATATAGTATGTGTACATAAAGGCCCAACTAGATACATATATGTCATCATAGGATAGTCGCAGTCAGGACCGGATGTAGGTTGCAACTTATGGGTTCATCCGAGACCAGTAGCTTATATGTGTTCAAATATTCGCTAAGTTAGTACACTTAATTGATTTTGATCCCAATATGTCGAATGAGTTGTGGTAGAATTCCAAACTCTGAACCATAAAGTTCAAATTTGGAATCTGCTTCTGGTCATGGTAGGTTGATTGCTTGGGAAAACTATAGTCTATACACTACTATGAAACCTCTAATTGCTGAATTTGTTGGGACGTGTTCACCTTGGAATGTGAGTCCGAATAGAGAGGAACTGATACAGATGATTTAGATCCTAGCTAGTTTGTGATAAGAGTGATAAATTGTTGATTGAAATTGATTGATATGTTCGATAGAGCATGAATAGCGAGTGGCTGTTCGAAGTTCAAGGATATAACTCATCAGCATAAGTATGGTGATAAAATACCATTTGTGTTAATAAGCGTCAATTGTTTTCTCCGGCGGTTATCAATTACGTTGCTGTATATAGAACTTATTGTGCTTTGTAGAGTGCACCTGATAACCTCGTTGCTGCTTACAAAACTTATTGTGGTCTGTAGAGTGCAACTACGGCTGCATATAGTTATCTAAAACGGTAATGCATAAACCTATAGGATGAATACACTGTTCTACTTCGTCTCCGTCAAACAGTTGACTATATGGAATTAGTATGTCTCGAACATGTCTTAAAAAGAGCATCCATTTGTGTGAATATGAATAGATCATTCAAGAACAGTTTCTAAAGTAGAGTTATGGGAGATACAAAATTGGAATAAGAAACTAGTCACTAATTTGAACGAGATGCTTAAAACGTGCAGTTCAATTTGTGCTGACACTTGCGCTCTTCTGCTCTTTGTCTTTGACACTGACATATGCAGTAAAACTGCGTGATACTGTTCCTAGTTGATATAATATGCCTATACGAACATTTTGTGGGAGTAACATCGTCTCTGTCATGATGGAAGCACCTTTGCTCTCTTGCTCCGCTATCCTGTGAAAACCCATATACATATGTCTGTTGCAAGTTATCAATTAGCAATTATAGAAATTATTGATTAAGAAGGCATATATGATGCTGGAATGAATCTAAACAAAGGAAAGGAAAAAGGACACATTTACTCAATTCTTTGAACACTTACTCTGAACATCCATTAAAATCTCTGTAATCAACTCATTTGATGACTGTTTCAGCTGCAGGAAGACTTTGGAGACAAAACTGAGATGGCAGCCAGGAATGCTTTCAGGTATGTTTCTCGTAGGCTCTCCAGCAGTGGCAAGGTGCTAGGCGAGGAGGAAAGAGCAGCTGAAAATGTCTACATCAAGGTGATATTCAGTTTTGCTTAATAACGTGCCTAAAATCAAGTGTATATGGTGTACTTTTTTGGTCTATCACATAATTGGCGCAGTGGTTCAGTGATGTGTAGTTGTGTACTATTTTAGATGTTTGATCTTTCTCATTCTCATCTTGCTTATTTCATCTTGATTTTGAGTATCACTGTACTAGGCTATCAGTTTTAGTTATCCACCCATTGTTTCTTTTGCATAATCATCAAACATCAACGAGAGTATTTATCAATTACTTTCTGTCCCATTTTACTTTTCTTTTTAGTCTGTCACAGGATGAATTATATCTTTCTCTATTTCGAAACTATTAAATGAGCATCCCAATTTTACCCTTAATGACATGACTTGTTTGGATATAATAGTTTATTTTTTCACTAGAATATAGAAATGAAAAGATATGTGTAACTTTCACCACCCCTTCTTGCTTCAGTAAAAAGAAAGAAGCTATTTCTTAGTCTATATTTTGTAGTTTTAGCAAACAAGCATATAGTTTATTATATGCTGGCTGTGTATTTTTTATGTCATTTCGATACTTAGGTCGGATAAGGGGGTCATAACTCAATAGTTTTTTTGATGCTTTATTCTGAAGTTTTTTATCATACTAGATGTGTCTGCGCTATCTCTGTCTTTCAGTTGTCTAACTAGTGAATGTCTTGTTTGACTTCTTAGAAAGTTGAGAAGGAGAAGTTGGAGAAGCTTGCACGTAAGGTATGTTTTCTGTCCTGATATACTGATCGATTATTTCTCTCTCTCTCTCTCTCTCTGTTGGTGCGTTGATTGATAACTAAAGAAAGCCACTAGCATGGCGTGAAATACATAAGTTAAAATCCATCATACTACTTGCCTAGTTGGGTTTGTGTATATTTCTTGCTTTTCATAATTTTTTTCCATTTCAAGTGTTGATCTGAGAATCTCCAGGACAATTATCCTCCTCTTTACGCTGAACGGAATCGGAAAAAAAACAAGGAGAACGGAAAATTAAAATTTTAGAATGACCTTTTCCTTTCACCTTTTCATTTTTAGAATGAGAGGTCATGATAGCCACTTCAATGTTTGTTGCCTAATTTTCAATGTTAGGAAAACCTCTTCTCTTACAGAAACTCTTAGCTGAGTGCAGCTCGTTTAATAAAAACATCCTATTCTGTAGGCATAATATATAAATAGGCACTCGAACTTGGCCTTAGTTGGCGAGTTTGCTTTTCAATTTTGGGCGTGCACAAGTAGGCACCTCAATTTATCTCCACTTTATCAGTTGAATACTCCAACTAACAAAATGATCATCTAGACACCTCCAAAAATTTGGTGCCACATCATCATTTGTGTTTACGTGTTCAACTTCATGTTGTGGTGCCTACTTGTGCACACCCAAAGTTGGAGGGCGTACCTGCCCGCTGATGCCAAGTTTGAGGGCCTGTTTATGTATTAGGTCTATTCTTTACCTTTCTTTGAATGTGTTACTTTTTCCTTTGAATTTTACATAAAATTCCTGCCTGATTTCAAAACCTTTTAAAGGGTCCTAAGCCAGAAGAAGAAGCTGCAACAAGCTCTGGTGTGTCAGGATCAGTAACTGATGCTACTGCAAGTGCACAGACCTCCTCAACTCCCGGGGTATCGGACGACAAGTATCGCAACTATGCTGTAGTAGCTGGACTAGTAACTGGTGTCGGTGCTCTCGGTTGGTATCTTCTGTCAAAGGACAAGAAGGCTGAAGAAGTACAGGACTGAAGTGTTCATTCATAGTCAAGTAAAACAAAACATGATCATGTATCAAAACATTTTCATCTCATGTCCTTTTGATATGTTTTCTACCCGCGGTAGGCGGCACATACAATATCGCTTCCATTTTAGAGCATATTGAAAATTAAGTTTGATCAGTGACTATTAAGCTCGACTTCAATGCTTGTATTTCGCCTTTTCTACCTGTCACAACCTGTTGGTATATGGGAAGAAAGCAGCTCATTGTCCTCCAACAGATGGTTGCTAATTTCCTATCTCTAACCACCTACGCTCCGCCATCCGTTCCAAGTTTAGGAACACAGCTAATAGTATAGTATCACTATGAAAGAGCTGATGAACGGATGAGCGGAACAAGAAGTCTACTGGACGCGGTTTGTACTCTTATCTGCTTCTTTTCCATATTAGAGTGACGTCGCATTGTTTCTTCTGCTTGATATTTCCATGGATGCGTCGTGCTCGCGAGGCAGCGATAACCAAGTAAGAATTGCCTCAGAAGTTGTTAAGACCTAAAAAAACCATTCCAGCTAGTTATAAGTAAGATAAGATAACTAAATGTTACCTATCGTAAATACATTATAGTTTCGATATATTCAGAGTAATGCAACTTCACTACAGATAGAAGAGAAGAAAACCATTTTTCTTTCAACAAAAAAGAAAAACTTAGAGTTTCCTTTCAAGGTTCGCATGCAGAGGGTTTAGCTTTATACAGAAGGAGAAGTTTGATTCGTTAAGACTCTCGTAACTTCTTAGATATCGCAACAAGAGCTCCAACAATCACAATTACAGCCCCTGAAATCAAAAGGTTTGACTTGATAGTTTCAACTGTCCTTTCTTCCTTCTTCTTTGCTCTATTGTCTTGTTCCTTCTACAAAAAAAAAAAAAAAAAAAAAAAAAATTTATAGTGGTAAACAAATAAATTAAAATTAAACAAACTTCTGAGAAAACTAGATTCATTTGTCAAGACTTTTCTTCAATAAGAGAAGCTGGTGTTTATAGTGGGAGCTCTTAGGTTCAAATTCAAGAAAAAATATTAGGTTCAAATTCAAGAAAAAATGTGTTTATAGTCCGAGGTTGAGGTCTTAGGTTCAAAGGTTCAAATTCAGGCAAAAATCAAAACAAGAGGTAATTTTCTCATCAAGCCTTGATGGACAGATTATCCGATAGCAAAATACAAGCAAAAATCAGAATAAGAGGTGATTTTTTTCATAAGTTCAAGCCTTGATGGATAGGTTATCCGGTAGTCGAACCGAAAAAATTACTCGAGGTGCACGTAAATTGGTTAAACACCACGATTATCCAAATAATAAGAGATATCAAAATCCCTAAAATTAATTGAGGTGCGCGCAAGCGGGCCTGATATCATAATTATCCAAAACAAAACTTGGTGAATAGATTATTCGATACCTGTGCTGGTGGGAGTGGAAAGTAATAGAATCCGTAAAATTAGTCGAAGTACAAGCAAACTAGCCCGAATACGACAGTTATCCAAAAAACCGGAAGGTAACAAAACCCGTAAATAATCAAGGTAAATGCAAGCTAAGATCTGACACCACGATTATTTTAAAAAAAGCCGATGTTTGAAGAAACAAAAATGTTAAATGAGAAAATTAAAGAAAAAGGGCTACCTTGACTTTCTTTTATTTTGGAAAAACCTTCACTTATCTAGACGTAGTAGTAAAAGAAGGATGTCTTTCAAAATGTTTGTCCTCTATTTCATCATTATTGCCATCCACAATTTTAGCCCCAGCTAATGATGGTTCAATTTCTTCAGGAGTTGTCATATTAACTTTGCTTTATGAAAGTTTTACAGCTTTTATTTTATTTTATTAAAGTTTAATTTATCTTACTGTTTGTCTAGAAGATATGGATGAATGTAAAGCCATAATCTGAAGGTATTAAATTGTAACAAGTAGAGCACAAGTAAAATCATATTGACTTGTTTATTTAATCATGTCCTCCGTAACTAACAATAAAATACTATCTATGAATCTATAGTTGAACTCGAAAGTGCAAACTTTAGATTGCATGTAGGATTAAATAGAGTAAGTTATTACACCCGGCATCAGTGTGATGACCCAAAGAGTCATCTTATGTGTTAGAACTCGATTCCGTGTTCCGAGGCTTTAAAAACCTCATTTTATCTCTCCTGGATCTGCGTGCGCAATCCAGGCGCGCTTCCGGAAAGCCTCTATGTGGAAAATTGATGAAATAATAATTTTTGGCCTAAAAAGTTGATTTTAGTTGACTTCGGTCAACGTTTTGAGAAAACGGACACGGACCCGTATTTTGATTGTCCCGATGGGTTCGTAGTAAACTATGGGACCTGGGCGTATGCTCGTAATCGAATTGCGAGGTCCCAAGCCCGAGAAATGAATTTTTGATGAAAATTGTAAGATTGAAAATCTAATGATTTAAAGAATTTGATTAATGTTTGATCTCGTTGGTATCGGACCCGTATTTTGGTTCCGGAACCCGGTACAGGTTTAATATAACATTTATATCCTATCTGTTAAATTTGGTGAGAAACGGGACTGATTTGTTGTGGTTCGGACCTTTGGTTGCGAAAATAGAAGTTTTAAAACTTTCTAGAAAATTTCATGCAATTTGGTGCTAAATTCGTAGTTCTAGGTGTTATTTTGGCGATTTGATCGCACGAGCAAGTCCTTATGATGTTTTTAGACTTGTGTGCATGTTTGGTTTGGAGCCCCGAGGGCTCGGGTGAGTTTCAGATAGGCTTCGGGATGTTTTGGACTTAGGAAAATTCTGGTTTTTCTGCACCTTCAGCACTTGCCGGTTTCCTTCTTCGCGTTCGCGAAGCTTCTCACGCAAACGCGAAGAGTAAACTTGTCTGAGGGAGACTTTCTTCAACGCGAACGCGAAGGGCTGGTCGCGAACGCGAAGCGTTGGGGGCATTACCCTTCACGAACGGGACAAGGCTACAGCAAACGCGAAGCATTGGGACCTGGGGGAGGGGAATTATACTCTTCGCGAAAGCGGCACAGGGCTCGCGAACGCGGAGGCTGGTGGTAATAAGCCTTCGTGAACGCGAAGAGTATCTCGCGAACGCGGAGGCTACTAGAGCCGCTGCTTCGCGAACGCGTCAGACCCTTTGTGAACGCGAAGAAGGTCTGACGCCTGCGTATTATAACAGAACCGGCACGGGATTTTTCAAAAATTTCACAACTCTTTCATTAGAACTCGACCTAGGAGCAAATTTGAAGAGGGGATTCAACACCAAATCATAGGTTTGTGTTCTTAAACTCATTTCCTTCAATTTCCATCAACAACCATTAGATTTCTAGTCCTAAATCTTGTTCTTAAGGGTAGAAAAATAGGAATTTTGGGAGAATTGGGCATTTTGCAAATTTGGGAATTTAGACCTCGATTTGGGGTCGGATTCCGGAACTAATTACATATTTGGGCTCTGGGTGAATGGGTGAATGGATTTTGGTCCGAACCTCGAGTTTTGACCAAGCGAGCCCGGGGTCGGTTTCTGACTTTTGGGGGAAATGTTGGGAAACTAATAATTATGTATTGGAATTGATTTCTTTAGCGATAACTGATGTTATTAAGTTAATTATGACTAGATACGAGTGGTTCGGAGGTGGAAACTAGAGGAAAAGTGATAATTGAGCAGTGAGTGGCCTGTTGATCAAGGTAAGTGTTTGGTCTAAATTTGACTCGAGAGATTAGGGATCCCCGACTTAATTCTTATGTGAAAATACATGTGTGTGGCGTATAGGTGAGGTGACGAGTACCTACGCGCCGCCAATTTATCTGTTTTGACTGTTCCCTTCCCGTTTCTAATATATTGTCTTTTTGTCTTAACTGCTACACGCTTATTGGTGCTTCCATGTTTAATTGCTTCTTGTTAGATGTTGTTTTCTCTATTGAAGGTATTAACTATTCTGTAGTTTCATTGTATTACATTATTGGTTTAAGTTGGTTTATCGGTGTTTCATGGTTTGGGTTGGTCTCGCTGTGTAGTATTAATTGAGTGACGTTACATAATTGTATAGCCTTCTGTTTGTTTTGGCTTGAGGCTTAAATATTGTGGAGGGTTTTCAGCCGAATTGTGAAATTTCTGTTCTTATTGTGTGATTGGTACTGATATGGTGGGATCGGGTTGCACGTCGCATCATGAGGAATAAGGGTGATATATTGAGGAGGAATAAGGGTGAAATGTGATTGTTTGGTGGGATCGGGTTGCGCGCCGCAACAGGAGGAATAAGGGTGATATATTAAGGAGTAATAAGGGTGAATTACTATTGTACGGTGAGATCGGTTTGCACGCCGCAACAGGAGGAATAAGGGTGGATTGATAAGGAGTAATAAGGGTGAATGTTCATATTGTTACTAATTATATGGTGGGATCGGGATGCGCGCCGCATCAGTTTATTGTTTAAGTAAGTTATTTTGTAGTGTTGTATCTCACTTAAGGATTGGTTATAACTGGTACTATTAAGATATTTGAAGTTTGGTATTCACTTTTGTTGCAAGTTACTGTTTCATTTTATACCGTACTCTTTTTTTCGCTTTATTATATACTGTATGCAAGTTATATTGTAATTGCCCCGCCGTAGCCTCGTCACTAGCTCCTCGAGGTTAGACTCGGCACTTACCAGTACATGGGGTCGGTTGTACTGATACTACACTCTGCACTTTCTGTGCAGATTTTGGAGCTGGTAGTGGCTGATTGAGAGGTCGGTTGCAGACATTTCATCTAGGAGACCCAAGGTAGTTCTGCTGGTGTCTGCAAGCCATGGCGTCTCCTCCTATGTTTCTACATTCCTGTTTTCTTTTCTTTCGAAACAGATGTAATTTATTTCAGACCAATGTTTGTAGATATTCATAGTAGGTTCGTGGATTGTGACACTAGTTTCTGAGTAGTAGTAGTAATAGTTCTGGCAATAGTTTATAAATAAAGCAGTGTTTACTAACTTCCGCAGTTATGATCACTTGTTTTAACTTGTTTATTTTTATTCAATGAATTGTAAAGGAAAATGGTTAATAAATCTCTAACATTGGCTTGCCTAGCGAGTGTGATGTTAGGCGCCATCACGGTCTGGTTGGTGGGAATTCCGGGTTGTGACAATCAGGGAGTAGATTCGCGATTAGGAGAGACATATCTTATTGGATTATTGTTTCATGAATTATTTATGTATT